CGAGTCTGTCTGTACAACGTATGAATTCCGTCTAGCCATATCCTCCAGCCCTTTAGAAAACAAAGACATTGAACACATTAATATTGATAAGGTGAAACAAATTCACATGGATTTGTACATACATGTGTTGTACAATACACAAGTGTAAAGCATTTTAATACAAATTTAGAATCAAACAAGATTGAGCCAAAAAATTAATTTAACCGCATCATACATGTGTTTCGTCCTTCGAGGACTGGTCAGTGATGCTAAGGGCTTAAATTGAAAAGAATATAAAGTAAAACTTGACACGCAAGACGCAGACTATGGCAAACTTAGAGGCTAAAACCACCGGCAGCGTCTACCACATGCAATCTCAGACATTATATGAAAGACACAAAAGTGAATAGCACCATTCAATACACATTCAGAATCATGGAGTCAAATTATGAATTAGACTGCATCAGATCATACAAATGTTCGTCCTTCTATGTCTCGTCCTTTTACTTTGAAATGATAATAAACTAGTATCTCCAGCAACCGTTTTTTAAATAAGCAACCTATTAACTAGCGCTTTCTATCACAACTGTTTCTTTATGTATCTATTATTCTTTCGATGTTTGATATCAGCATGTGGGATGTCAATAGCTGACGTGATCTGCCTGTAATTGCACAAGATAGCTACCTGTGCAAAACTGTTCTACAGATACGAATTCTAAGTCTAACGACTGGAAAGGCATCACTTTAACAATGTTTGATTGGGGTTACTTTTTATAATATTTTTAGCATTTTCTCTCTATATTTTCCACCTTGATTATTGTATATAGGATTACCATATAGCCGAAAAAATGATTGATTCCTTACCACATTGAACACTATGTATGGCAGTATTACTACGCTTCATACTTGTCTGGTGAAAGTGACCGTGTAGTCATCGCAACATCACACTTGAATCTTCTACATTGTGTTTTTCTTTAAATTGAAGCATTGAAGTATCGTGTTTCTCCTAACCATTAACCCCTTAACTCTACCCACTTCCTTAACATGAACAAAATATACTTGAATGTAAACTAACCTGTCTAAAGTTGAAATCTGTAAACTTTTCCGTCCCCTTTTCACACATCAAGCAGGAACGCTTGCCATATTAAGTGATTACTATCACTTCAACGTGGATGCTTGCATTTAAGGTACTTAAGATATGAAATCCTCAAGTTTTTTTAAGTGTACAACATAAAACGTAACGAATATGTAAACAATTTAAATACAGCACTTTGGAGAAACCCCGATCGTTGTTAAAGACGCAATGATTCGGAAATGTTAAGATTAATATCAATTATCATCGACACTCCATAAATGTACAAAATGTATTCTTTTGTGTTATGTATAATGTAAAAGTGAAGAACAATGCAATTTATAAATGTATTTATGTTTTCGAGAATGTATCTTGCCAATACAGCCCATGATTGGCAGTCTGTCAATATGTATTAAAAATCAGGTAGACCCCATGTGTAATCATAAAAAATGATTGAAAGATAACTACAATCGCCATGATGTATTTTAATTTTATTCATACCTTAAAATGATTTAACAATTCGGGAACACCTCCGGCATGCAAATTAAAACATACATTGAGCGCATTTCAATTTCAGAATTAGAAAAGTTGAGATATTGCCTTAATTTTCGATTTGTCAAATAATTTCTCCTTTTTTATGTTGCAAATAAATTGTGCTGTAGTTCTTCCTTCCATTATATGTCTTTTGTAAGATCAGGTCACATGTCACGCGGCTCATGGTATCATCAATGCGGAGTGCTGAAGGCAAGGTTGAACCTCTTCTGTGCATTTCCTGCATGATCTGAACGATCACCCACCGTAGGAGTACTGTTAGGTCGTAACACGAATTCTCCTGTTTAAAAAAACGATATTTCTCAAGCTTATAACCTCTATATCAAAATAATATGAAATCAGTTCTCCAATAAACAATATCAAATGAAACATCGACCCTGACTAAATGTGTACATGTGTAGGCTAAACGGATGATAACGACCAATGAGGTGGTACAAACAAGGTCTCTTGTAAAGACATAACTGACATATAATCTCTGTTCAAAGTCAATCCATTTAGACGCTGCCGCATATGTAATAGATAATATAAATCTATAACCAATAACATCGACAGATTTAAATTAAATTGAAGATATACTGTTAAGCAGGACTACATTACGAAAACAAAAATCAAGAATATGATAGATGAAATGAAATACGCTATGAACGAGTCGAGATATCAATGTGGACGATTTACTTTCTGGTGGCGAGTTTGTGAGTCTGTGCTGTTGAATGTGGTGACCACGGTTTTGTGACCTTAGAATATCTGGAATGAAAGAATATTTTACAGCTTATTATATGACAAGAGACGGATTGGAAATTGGACAGGTTGCATGGATTGTCTCATGGAGTAAACGAAGGTAATATAAAGTGCAATGATAGAAATTCGTCCTTTACATATACAATGTATTGCTGCTGAAGAACATTTTTAAAAACTATCTCAAATTCTGATGTATCATATGAACACGAACGATTTCCATTTGAATGTCACTGTGAATCATTTATTATTGGTTTAATATCTTTAAAAGGGAAATTGTATCCTTTTTTCTATCAAGAGGAAACAAAAAACAAAAAATATCACGTAGATTAAATTAGTCAAAAGTAAACTTTTCTCTCGTGGTTTTGAACACATATTGGTGATTTTACTATTTTCTCGGAATAAACCTACTTGCATGATTGCATATTGTTACTCATAAGACGGTGAAACATTTCACAATGTTATGCTTACAAACACACTAAATGATTATCATTTCACTAATGTACTTATAAGACGGTGAAACATTTCACAATGTTATACTTACAAACACACTTTTCCCCTAATTTAGTTCAAAAAAATAGAAGAATTACAGAAATTTTACCAAAAACAGTTGGTCGATCTTATACATTTTTTGGTAATGTCTTCCCCGACGTCAATGAAATGGAGGGGTCGACAAAAAAGAATTGACTCGGTTAGAAGTTACCGTCACCCGAGGACAGCGGCATAGTAAAACTCGGTCCCGTCGTCCTCTTCCGGTCTGCCGGTCCCAACGAGGGCGTTGCGTCACCGCAATTCCCTTCGAAAGACATCGGAGTTATACACTTTCTCCGCATTGCGTCATAAAGTGACTATACCGGAAAAAAAGAAAAGCCTTATTACTTATATTTTTGTACTCAGTAATAGCAAACGACTCACCTTTGGGTTGATCCGAGAGTAAAGTTAACAGAACAAAAGCAGTATGAGTATGGGTTAATTTTAGACGCTTAGAAACGTCATATAAGGGAAATATTCATTAAGTTTACGAGTTAGCGACCTAATGAGATCGTTGTCGTCCTTGAAATGTTCTCACATAAATACAATTTGAATTCATACAATTTGACATGGGGGAATATTGAAGAAAGTAGACAACAATCCTTTCAAACGTGTAGTTATACACATGACTACAATAACAATATTGATTTTGATACAATATAGTAAAACCAAGCCAGACCTGAGGAAGATATCTAAAATGAGCACATCTAATTTATTGTTTTACCTGTAACTTCTGGTATTGTCGGTTTCTCTCCAGCAGCTTGTCTGATAATTCATTGTGCTTCTTTTTTGTCGTATCCAATTCCTTTTTTGAAGCTTCATTTAGGCAAAAGTCGGTACATTTTATTTATTAATCAATGTACTTCTTGGTTGAAGGCAGTTATATGCGCAAGACATTACAATAATATAACGTAGTGCATGTCATACTAGGACGCCAATTAAACTGTAAAATGGACTACATTTAGGTATATGGACCGACTACGCAGTTTATCGAATTATTCTCCTGGCCAATTTTTATCATTTCATTTACCATTTTAGAGAATCTTATACCACAAAAATTGGGGGGAAATATTATGTTATTTTAGCAACTAAATGTATGGTACTTACCCGAAAGCTGCGTTTTCAGAGCTGATGTTGGGTAAAGGAAAATGAGTGAACAGGATATACAAAATAGGTGATGAACGAAGATAGTAGTAATTCTTCGGGCTTTCAGGAAGGAAACTGATCCGATATATTGTCGAGCTTCAATTGCGATGTTATAACATGTAAATTGTAAAACTACTATATGCTAGTCAGATGAAAGTTCATCCTCATGTTGAAGTAAATCATGAGAAATGATATATACGATTGTTACCACTAAGCGAACATTTAAAGTGCATGTTATGTTATGCTTCGGTTATTAGCAATATCACATAAGTTTAAGTCTGTGTTGAAATTATCATAAATATATTATCTCGAAAGATGATAACGATAAACACATCTCTGACCACGTACATTGTCTTGATCAACCACATTTATTGTTTATCAAATCATTAAGCTTTGAATAATGTACGTGTATGAAGATATGTATTAAGTATTTACTATTGATTTTCTTCAGCATATGCCATGTACACCGAGAACATAACTGACAAATTTATGATACAAACGCATTAGAGACAACACACTACCGGACCTGTTATGCGTATAATACAAACGTAATATGTGTAGCTCCAGTCTAGTAACCACTGTTCTATTTATAACCCAGTGTTGATAGCGACTAACCTGATCACAGTGAACAACAGCTGTCAACTTATCACATTTCCCAGCCCTGACAGACCATGTGATTCACCGACCCTGTGTGCTACATGATGGGGCCACAAACGGGGATAATCACACCTAGTTTAAATCGAACACACTACTGAATCGTACCACAAAACAAAAATTGAATATAGTTAAATTTGCGGTAAATATATAACATCGTCGTCACATTTCATGCCGAAAATAAATTATTTTACATGAAAATATACTGAATTATACGTGATAAAACAACAACGTGTGATAAACCGTATCCCCATGATGACCTCTGACCGGGCACACTTTGAGTCGAAGTAATGCCCTAGAGGACAACGGAGAATCTGGAAGGAATATTTACCACTGGAGTTCGTCTTTAAATCGCAAGGTACGTATACCTAATTCACTAAATATTCTTAATGTGTTATTTCCATTGATACGAACACACCGCAATACCGAAATGTGAAATACGTGACTGTGTGCTTGGCACATTGATGGCTCCATGCCGATTGTATATCACGTGATAGACTTAACTCGGTTCTACATTCAAAGTGTATCACCATACCAACGTAATTACTAGCATACACACGTGTGTTCATGTGTATACATCACGTGTGACATACCATAAAATGTATATCTGATATTGTATTACATGTTTTAGTCATATAATAGTTCAAAGATAACTGCAAAGAACAGTCACAATCACGTGTGTACATTGTCGATTGATTTTAGTGTTAGTCTAGAGAGTGTGTATTATGGCATCCTGTGCTTTTTTAAAACAATCTTTATATGGGTCGAATTGTGTATACGTGCACATGACAAAAATACTGTTATCAATTAAGTTAAAAATATGTACAATCTCTTTTTTTTATTACGAACGTGATAAGAAATTGTTGGATCAAACATGCCTTTCAGCATGCCGGAGACCCGGCGAACCAAATCATGGAACTGTTGTATTTATGTTTAAAAAAGTGTTTTTTATTCTCCTTTTTTTCTCTCCATAAAACATTTAATGGAATTTAATATACGATATACAAGTAAAATATATTCCTTGGTGGAAATGTCTAAGGTGAGCAACTAAGAGAGTGATGTCAATCAGAGACATATTCAGAAAGTTATGAACATTTAGGACCTGCTGCTCTCGAATGCAGGAGAAAGTGGAATGATAGGAGGGGAGAATCTCAGTTATCTAGATAAAGCTGACAAAGAAATGGTATTCACAGAGACTGGCGATGTTCGTTCTATACGTACAAGGCGTAAATAGTTTTAAGACTTAAATTTACAAAAGAAAACATATAAGATAGTTGGAAAAAAATTAAAATGTGGTTGCTCAAATTGTTATGTTATGTTTTGATGCTCATTTTCATACAAATGTCAAAATATTATCGAGTAAAGTCTATCAGAATTCTGATACAAATAGGTTTGAAATGACCACGGATTTTCTAATCGGCCACTTATAAAAGCGACGAATTAGAACTGAAGTCAGTAAGACGTTTAATCAGTGGCTTTGCCTTGGGCTGTGGTAATTAAAGAGGTATTGTGGTAAGTATTTTCCCCCATTTCCGTCTCAAACTCAATGCCATACAAAAGAATCACAGAATCAAGCAATTTCAACATAGAAAGTTTACACTATATATATAACATGCGTTCATCAAACATTTGAATTAAAATGAACTATTCAATATTGAATTATTAGAGACGGATCTAAATTAAATCGATTGCAATGATCACAGAATTTCAGCATTTACAGAAGATCACATACAAGTTCATCATTTTACACATCATCACAAACAGCTTCATCACTTACACATTATCACAAACAGCTTCATCATTTACACATCATCACAAACAGCTTCATCATTTACACATTATCACAAACAGCTTCTTCATTAGACCGGAAGGTTCCGACTATCTGTCGGTGATTTTAGTTTGTCTTGCTCGCGGTCGCCACCGAACAAGATAAAAATAAAGTCGTGGATAGATGGAAATAACTCTTCGACTACTTCATCATTTACACACAAGTCTGTATCTGAGCATTGGGATAAAATATTTTATGGAAAAAAAAACATTAATTTTCTGTTCATCTAAATTGCGCGCAATAAATATTACTGAATCCATATTTCGGTAGAAGTCAAACTAAAAAAAAACTTGTATGTGTCGCCTTTCGTTTTTAATTGGCGTTTATTTACCTCTCATGATGGAATTATATTGAATACTTAGCCAGAACAGTGTTCTCGACTCTATCTTATTTATCTTAAACGTAAGACTACTTACGATGAACACAATGAATGCTATAAAAATGTATAAAGAATGCTGATTATATTATCATATTATATTTCACAAATAACCATACATTACATGAACGTGGTTTTAATGAGACTGTCGTATATATATGTGTGTACGTGTAAACATAACTTATTTTACTTACAGGTCAATTGGAGTAATTACGTTTGTAAATCGACTTCAAGCAAAGATTATGGACGAGCACACCAGTAGAACATTGAGAAACTTACTAGAACAACTTGGCCCCGAATATAGTCGCCGATTACAGAACACCAATATACCAACAATGGAGGTCAGCACTGGGGCAAATCCTGCTTCAGTCACTCAAACATCCAATAGAAGGGTTATTCCTAAAAGTACTGCTCCTCTTGTATTTCACAGTCCGTCGTCTATGCCTTGTGTCATTATGCCAGGAAGTATCACGTCATCTAGCAGTCGCCTTGGGATCCATGGAAGTAGTTCTGCCTCAAATAGTCGGATAGGAATACCAAATAGTAGTACAGCATCAAATAGTCGACTCTTGATGCAAAGTGGGAGTGGAACCTCAAACAGTCATCTGGCAATGCTTCAGAATACGGTTCAGTCCAACAGTGGTGCAGTAAACTTAGGGACTGCGCAACTTTCTCTTTTAGAACATTCAAATGTACTTGGAGTGTCTGCCATCCAAGATAATGACCGAAATCTCTACATTTGCGAAAATGATGTAGACAATCAATTATCTGGTAATTTAAATTCAATTTATGATAATTCCAATCAAATTTCAAGACAGGCATTTACGATGAGGCGCACACGAACAAACATTCCTTATTCAGTAAAATGTCAAATATCCAAAATGGCCGAGGAAAGTCCACGAATCACACAAGGCGAGATTGCACAGATATTTGGGATAGATAGAACCACAGTTTCAAAAATTTTGAAGAAAAGAAAAATGTATACGGACCCAAATTCACCACATTCTCCAAGCAAGATCAGTCGGTCAGCTGATGATGAAAGTAGCCAGTACGATCTAGAAGAAACTTTGTCTAACTGGTACACTGGGCTGAGAGAAAAGAAAGCTTCTGTCACAATGGCAATGGTAGCCGATGCGGCCAAGAATTTAACGGATGTATATGGAGTTCCTAAATCAAGCATTGACACACAATGGGTCAGCTCTTTCTGTCAACGACATAGTATTATCTGTAACGGGGAGGATTTCACCCAAATGGAGTTGACAGGTGAGAAATATATTTGTAATTGATATATTCATTGATAATCAATATGTGGATAAATTTATGTTGGTGAGTTATATTGAAAGAGAATAAGCCAATAGAAGCAGCGCTGATCTCTTCTTAAACAAGCAATGTCAATGTCGTTGTTGTAGATAGAGGAGGAAGGTGCAACTGAATTACTTTTACATTATATGCATGTATTTTCGAGAATCGTAAAAAATACTGAAATTTTGCTGGAGACAGAAAGCACATATTAAACATGAACCAAATTATCAATATATTCAAAATACTTGTAGCGTTACAAAGAATATTCAAAAGATGTAAAACAAAATGTTTTGATTCTGTTTTTCTGCTTATCCGAAGAAGTCGTTTGAGTGATTTAACAAATTTGACCTTGGACTATATGTCAAGGTATTTTTTTGCTCAAAACTGATAGATATCAGGTTTTATTACCTGAACATCAAACAGAAAAGAAAGATTTACTGACAAATGACACCGCACTGTGGTGTAAGCTCATCTTCACTTCACCCCTTCGGCAGTATAACAATTGATGCTATCATAAGTTGTATGATGTCTTCAAGAATTTAACTTTTTGGGATTATTGACCATAAGTGTATGATAAGATAATCATAATTTGCATAGGTATGTTCTCGTAGTTACTACCTATACATCTATACAAGAAAGACAACAAATCTTAATGCAGTATGCAAGAACCTGATGCATACAATGGTCCTAACGGTTAACTTGATCAACTTTTGATGTAACATTCAAAGGTTAAAATGTACAAATGTGGCTGCTGAACAATATAGGGCTTTACGTTAGTCACATGCGTCACAATATCAGTTTTAAGGTTTGACTCGTTGTGTAACAAAGTGTCTTCTTCACAAATTTGGTAAAAAGGCATTAGAATGTCAGCTTCTTTGACCATGAATTTATTTTTTCGTCATGCTACGTTTTGATCTCCCCGACGTACTTCCCTTCGTTTCACTCTACAGATGATGAAGCGATACGGTTGACAAAGGGTTTCGAGAATGCACATTTGCAGATTATACTGAAATGCTACTAAACTTGTTAATGCTAACTCAAGGACTCTGATGAATCCGGATTCTAAATCATTTTTATGAAAGCATGGCGAAATGAAAATGTTCCTTAGGACCGGTCTCCGATCGGGAAATGTGCGATCAGGGACGTCCCTGGTACGATTAGGTCGAATTTATGATGAAACAGAACTTAACAAAACCAAAGTCGGGGCCAAATTACTTAAAGTACGATATAGTATCAATACGTTTATTACGAACGCGCAATTCATGGCTATAGACTATTGTTTTTAATTCACTGTCCAGCGCTTTGTCATTTTCATGTAAAATGTAACGAATATGACATACTGAATAAAGGTCTATAATTAGAAACATCGAGGTACGCTTGGGCAATTAAAAAATGTCAACGCTAATTACCAACTCTATAACGTAGTATGGTGGTTGTATCTAAGTGTGTCAACATTTTTAATCCCCTATAGGACAGTTTGTTTTGATTGCGATTTTAGTCTTTTCCCTTAAATAGTATCCATTCCAACAGATAAATTTACCTGAAAAACTTCACATGTTGGCACTCAGAGACTAGTATTTCTTGCATTTTATCTATTTTTGTCAAGTTTACATTCATGATACTTCTTTTTAAATAAAAATATTTACGAATATGTTGAAACAAAATTCACATTTTAATCAACTTTATTCTCTACACCTTAATAAGTACAAAGAAGCCTATTTGATATATCTTGTGAAATCTTTGAATGTGTTAATTTTTATCTTATTTTGATGTAATATTTTGTCAAGTTAAAGTAACAAATATTGAATTTATCACATTTCAAAGTTGCGACTTTATTTACATTTACCTTGTGTTTGCTGTTACTAATGTTGTATTATTATTCTCTTTATTTCCTCCTTTAAGAAAATTTCACAAAAAGAACAACATTAATTTAGTGAAAGAGAACGTTGAATTGGCATGCAAATCAAAATTATTGCCAAGATATTATAACATTAGGATTATTATAGTAATTAAGTCGTTACAAAATCACATCGGAACATTGAGGTACATCATTTTTGCAATACAGTGATCATTATAACATAAGTATAATAATGATTAAATAGTTACAAAATACCAAAGTAACATATAAGATGCATCATAATTACATTACTCATATATATATATACATTGTACTTAATGATAATTCTTAAGATGTAATTTGTATCATATACATTTTAGCCATAATATGCTTTAAGCATTTTTGAAACATAATGGACTGCATTAAAGTAAAACTGTGATATTTCTTTTAAATTCAATTCATACATTACTTCTCCACCAATCGAGATATGGAATAGGTCAAAATCTGAGTGATCATGTAAATATACGCTAAACTCATGATCATGATGTACTGATAGGCCCTTATGATAAAAGGTAATAAAATTAAATGAAAATTACTACTATCATTTGCCATTAATAAATTGATTTGATACCAATTACCGGAAATGTGATATTGTTTTAACCAATAATGGCATTCTTTTTCTCTTTACTTCACTTTACTTTACTTCTGAGGTCAAACTTAATTATTCAGTATTTTTCATCAAATTAGATTTATATATTTAATTTAATATCTCAATCATATGAAGACAGACTGTGAGAAACAAAAGGAAAAATCTCGGGTAATGATCCGGGTAAGAAAAGGGCAGTGTATATGTAAAAGTAGATAACTGCCTTGCCATTGTTTCCTAAAATAACATCCCCACCCCTACCGTTAACAGCATTCGTAGAACACCCCCTTCCTGGGGAAATCGTCACACCTGCGTGATGTCAGTCTTCCGACAGTGTGAGTCGTATATGCATGTGTGCCATTGTATTCATACCTGTGACCAGGTTATGTAAACTGTCTGTTTTTTGTTATATCACTTTGGAAAATTGGCTTCGTCGTCTCAGTATCCTTAAGGAAAGGCTTGAATGTAAATTTCAAACAAATTTTAAAACAATGAATATCGCGCTTTTCTTTATCGTCATTTTACTATCATTGAAAAATAAGTAACTCAATAAATTATTTGATAATGATACTTTCATCTTGTTTAAACTGCAGGCACTTAAAATGAACATGAAAATATCAGTTTCTATTAAAACATTTAGTAAAAACTGCTAACATAAAACCCACATGGTCTCTCCTGTTTACACGAATTCTTTCAAGTAACCGCACCATTGATTTTCTCTGGGGCACTTGGTTATAGCTGTACACATACACAACACGTGATCCTAGTACAGGGAATCTCTGTTACAGTGAAGGTTTGTTACACACAGGCGCTCTATAAATAGAGCAGTTTTACGGGATCGGAAATCGTTGTGCATACAAATTGGAACGAGTGCTGGTGATTATACGTGTTTACACAAAGAAGGATTTAGAAAAGTGCATTGTGACTTTTTCTGAAAGAGTTTGAAGTGGACCTTAAGAAAGTTTTTAGGTACAACCTAGCGAAGTGCATACACTACGTGCTTGCGACAATGTCGTGTAAACGCGGTGTATCCAACTCGTATATAGTAAATACACAGGAGTGTCGGCGTGTGTTTTAACTTTGTAAAATCCGATAATGACATTGAACAACTACTTGCAAGCTCGGGATATTTGACATTGAAAATAGCAACCATGGAAGACAATGTTAAGATAAATGCCGAAAGATTGTTAGGAAAGTTCAGGTCAAAGAACGATAAATTAGTCAAAACGACTCCAGAAGAGATAAGTCATGATCCATTGTCATCTAGTGATCAAGATGATTTTGATGTGGAAATGTTATGCCTGGCTGCTTCTACTCCAAGAAAACGGACTGTCCTGACTCTAGAAACTAAATTAGAAATAATAAAAGCCGTTGAAAGGAAAGAAAAACTGAAAACAGAAATTGCTAAAGACTTTGGCATAACGGGAAGCACACTTACAGGTATCGTAAAGCAAAAACAGCAAATAATGGAAGCATGCGATTCTGGGACTTTTTCACCTGCAAGAAAACGCATGAGACATGGCAATTTTATTGCAGTTGAAGATGCCCTTTACGACTGGGTGCGTAAAATGGAAGGAACTAATGTCAGCTTTAGACATGCAGTCTCTGGCTCCGTATTGAGACAGAAAGCAAAGGAAATCGCCAGAAAATTAGGAGTCACTGGATTTGTCAGTTCACCGGGATTTATTGAAAGATTTAAAAAGAGAAAAGGCATACGAAAGATCGACGGTCGTTCTTCGAGACAGAGATCATCCGGGTTAAGTACAAATGAAGGAGAATCTACTATGACAGTGGATTCACAATTTTCAGAGGATGATAGATTTGAGATAGAGTTTGTGTTTCATGATGAAGACAGCACTGGTTATGTTCAAGAAGGTAAAAAAAAAATCCTTTCATACACGATGTATTTGGGGCGATTCCATTACTTTTCCGCCAATTTCAACCAATTTTGGTCCGAAACACTAGGAGAGAGCAATCATTTGAGTATTTGAGTTGGTTTGCCCTGGGGACAAGGGAATTAGTTTAACTTTTCCTTTAAAATGCTATTTCTCCTTTATGTTAGTGCAAATTTCACAGGGTAAAGTTTATCTGTTATTATATAAATGAGGTCAGTTTAACAACTTCGGACTTTTGCTTTAACCTGCTGCTCTCTCCTATTGCCAGTGTGGATTTCACCTGTGTTTCTCTGAAACATCATTTAGAATGTACAATAATATCTTTTTGGGGTGCCAAAGGGGAAATTTACATTCAAAAGGATATTACATATTGTGCATTTGTTGCTATTGAATATTGACTATCAAATGCCTATCAAGGCCCATTCCAGGGCCTCTTATTATTCCTGAAATATACAAAACTTGACTGATGACAATTAAAAATATTGAAGATGGTTCTTATCCAATTATCTGTAGACATGCTGATGGTTATAAAAAAAGAAAGAAAAAAAGAAGAAAAATATCAGTGGAAATTTACATAAATTGA